GGGAGGGGGGAAGAAAGAAACTGACAGGGGAGGGGGGAGAAATAAACTAACAGGGAGGTGGGGGGGAAAGAAACTAACAGGGGGGGAGACATTGACAGGGAGGGGAATTGACGGGGAGAGAGAAATTGACAGGGAGGGGGGAGTGACAGGGGAGGGAGGGGGAATGAGAGTAACAAGGGAGGGGGGGAGAAGAGAGTGACAAGGGAGGGGGGAGAGATTGACATCCATCACACACACACATCACACACAATGCACCCCTTACACACAAAGACAATGAACCCCTTGCACACAGAAAAACACACAATGCATTACACACACAATGCATTACACACACACACGCAATGCAACCCTTACACACAATGCATCCCTTGCACACACAGAAACACACAATGCATTCCTTACACACACTCAATGCACCCCTTACAGACTCACACACTTCATCCCTTACATACACAGAAACACACCTTGCAGCCCTTACACATACAAACACAGATTCACACAATGCATTCCTTACACACAAATCAGGACATTCCCTACACACTCCATCCCCTGTGAACAAACTCATTGGTGGAAAATGAAGGTGGACCCTGGGACCCAGACCTTGAGCTGTGTAAAGGGCCCCCAAAAAATGGAGCTGCTTCTCGTTCTCCCAGAACATTGATTTGTGTGACCACAGTTACAAACAGCCTCCAGAGATCCTGTTATACACCAGACCAGTGGAGCCAGACTGCAGCTAGAGCCCATCATCATCCTCATCTGCTTGTAAGTAGGTAATCTAGTATATTATTCGTGGCACTAATCTCTAATTTACCTCACATTAAAGAAACACTATAGTCCCCAGAACCACTGCACCTTAATGTAGTGGTCCTGGTGTCTATAGCCTGTCCCTGCAGGCCTTTTAATGTAAACACAGCGGCACTGCAGCACTAGCGTTAGTTAACATGGCAGGTCATATGGGTGGGGCATTGCGATGTCACGGGGGGGAGGAGGGGGGCGGCAAACTTTACTTTTGCCTAGGGCGGCAAAAATCCTTGCACCGGCCCTGTACCCAGCCTCCCTACCTTTGGGAGAGCTGAGTGGCTGTGTGTCTGCTCACTAATCTTCCTACAGTTCCTCTCTGCTCCCTCGTGCTCTCTGTAGTGATGCTGGCGCCGGATTGACGTCATATTTTGGCTCCCGGCATCATTAAACAGTGCAAGGTAGGAGAGGCGGAGCCTAACCGTGCAAGGAAATGGCAGCATAATCCCTGAGCTCTGCCAAGGCCTAGCCTCAATCTTTAGCCATCAAGAGCACCTGAACCCCCAGAACCCATCCTCACACCTCCACTCACCCCCCCAATGGGCGGAGAAAAAAAAAAACGCAACTCCACCGTTGCACCTATCTTCCGACAGAGAGGCGAGCAGGCCCGGGCGCCATCTTCTGAACACTCACCGCCCGATTCTGACTCGGAGATGGGCAGCCAAACGGCCCCGGATCAATCGGAGGCACCACTAACCCGGCGGGACATGCAGGGGTTCATCGCCGACTTCGGAAAAACGGTCGCGGATGAGCTGGATAGAAAACTTGGCCCAATTATGGAGAGAATGGCGGACCTGACAGCTCGCACACAGGCCACAGAGACTAAGATGGCGGAAGCAATGGAGACCGTGCAGGCCCAAGGCGGGGAGCTACAAGACCTACGCGAACAGCTGCGCTCACTAGAGGAATACAATGAAGATCTAAACAACAGAACCCCGCAGGAATAATATCAGGGTGAGAGGTATACCGGAGGCAGTATCTACCGAGCTCCTTACAGACACCCTGACAGAGGTATTCAAGAACCTCCTGCCTGAGGCCTCCGCCGCTGACCTCCTAATGGACCGTGGCGGGATTGGAGTGGTGGATGGACGGAGGGGAGGGTGGGGGCGGACGGAAACACAGGGACATGGCTCACCCCAAGCATACCGCCGTACATGGAGCCGGGGTTACGTGCCACCTCACGGGCTACACAACCATCTCACACACAGCCCGCATATAACAGGGTCCGGGCCTCCCAAGGTGTCCCGCGGCCTCACCCTTCCACGGGCACGAACCCCGCCTGGCCCTACTCCTCACCGGATCCACGGAGGGGTCCGTGCATGCAGGCCCACCCCCACCGGGCCCCCAAGCACAGCATCGGACCCGTTCAGGGAGCCATGAGCGGTCAAGCAACAAATACACTATACCCCCGGGGCCGCCGACCGCGGGCCCCCCCACCCCGGTACACCTCACACCACACACCACCATGCAGAGCTAAGCCCAGTCTAGCCACGGGAAGACCATACCCGCTCCACCCTGCTCGGCCCAAACGCACCACAGGGGACACTTGCGGAACCACATACAAACCCCACACGCATATCCCGCACGCAGGGCACAGCACAACCAATCACACGACCATTGCGGTCATTTATCCGCTCACACACGACCACACACATGATGAAACAACAACAACGCTACAAACAGGTCGCAGGGCGGACATAAAGAAGCAACCATAGGGGCGGGCGGACACAGCGGTTCCCACAGCATAGGCACAATCGGTGAGCCCAGCGCTAGCCGCATAGACACCATAGCAATGACACTGATACCACCAATGGCCCGACGGTAGCTAGGGGGCACTACAGAGCAGCACCACAGATAGGCAGAGAACTACTAACAGATAAACGCTCAGCGGGGACAAAGCAACCAACAGACTAGCTCCACACACCACTGCCTCACCTTGACCCCACACCAAGCACCAGAAAGACCACTTGACAAGCGCAGTGTCTCTCTGATCGCTCCCGGACAACACAACGCCCTAGTTCATGAAATGAGTGTTCTTTGATTATACAACAGTTATTAATGAAGTTATAACAAGGTTAAGCACATGGTGCAGATTTGCCATGGTTCAACCTCCATGTTACACACTATCGAAGGCAGCACCTTCACCCTCTGAACGCTACAGGGCAGGTGCATGACAATCACCTAACCCGGAAGACACTAATCCCTCACCAGCCACCTCGGAGAGCCCCAATGCATAACATATGGCAGTAGTAAGCCACTATAGACCCAGACCCGCGCCCCCTACCCCCCGGACCCCATCCTAACGCTCAGCCAACTGAGCCCAGACACGGGCAGACCGACGGCAGGACCTGCCACAACTTGCCAACACCCCTCTCCCAGAACTCGACACTCCCAACTCCACGACGAGGACAGGAGCCCGAGCCCCCCCGCCTACCTGACCACTGGCCAGATCGATAAGACCAGTTCTAACCCACTCTACTCCCGACGACGGTCCCCCCTGGTCCGCCGGCCCGCGCACGCCGGAACCCACAACACCACCATATTCACCCCTCTACCTGACCGCCCGCTCCCAATCACCATACTCCCGGAGCCAGGCCCCACAGGGCCCTGTCCGAGAACGCCTCACCTCCAAGGGCAACACACATCATGGCATCTCCAAATCGAAAGATCCGACTAACCTCCCTCAACGTGAAGGGTCTACACTCCCCAGGCAAGCGACATGGGCTACTCCGCTGGGCCAACTGCACAGGGGCGGACATAATTCTGCTCCAGGAAACCCACTTCACCGACCAGAAATGCTTCCCACTAACTGACACTTCAGAAGACACTTTTATGCCAACTCCCCGGATCACCAAAAAAAAAAAAAAAAGAGTGGCGATCCTACTACGCAACGCCTGCCCACTCGAAGACATAAGCATGCTCCAAGACCCAAATGGGAGATATCTGCTCATCTCTGGACACATAGGCACCACGCCGCTAACCACCCCAGATACCACTTTTTGGTGCACCTTCAAGTCACACCTCGATAGCATCTCAGCCAAACATCTAATCATCGGAGGGGACCTCAACGCGACACACACACCCGCCATTGACCGCAGGACGCACTCTGACACGATACCAGTCCCAACGAGGAACAACAAATTATACGCCACATTTCTTAATGAGACACCACTGCTGGATATCTGGAGAGCCCACCACCCAGCAGACAAAGATTTCACTTTTTACTCCCACACACACACAATCGGTTGTACTCCCGCATTGACTGCTTCCTCATTTCACAGGCAGTCCAACCCTGGACCACCCACACGCACACAGGAAACATAGTATGGTCAGACCACGCGGAGATCACGCTGGACATACAAATCCCGCGACTGGCCCGTCCATAGCGCTGGCGACTCAACCCGTGGATCCTCCGGGACAAGGCGACGGTACATGCCATCACAGACCAACTCAAAACCTACTTTGAAATCAAGGCCACAGGCGACATGGCCCCGGCGACAGTGTGGGCAGCCCACAAAGCGACAATACGAGGCCAGCTAATAGCAATAGCCACAGCACTTAAAAAACAGCGCCTCAAGGATCTCACGGAAGCACTAGCCACCTTAAAGGAGCTCGAAACACAACACAAACAAAACCCTTCAGACGCGCTGCTTGCACGGCTTACCACCACACGTGTACTCCTCAAACGCCTTTCCACGGCAGATGTGGCACGAAACCTCATGTGGACCAAGCAACGCTTCTACGAAAAAGGGAACAAAGTGGACTCCCTTCTGGCAAACTGCCTCAAAAAAACGGCAGGACAACAACAAAAAATCTCCAAAATCAGACCCAGCAAGGGAGAGATCACGAACCACCCAGACGAAATAACACATGAATTTCTACACCAATCTATACAACCACACCAAATCCCTACCTCCAACGGGAGACACCACCCAACAGGCGCACATCACCGACTTTCTGCAATCCCTCAACCTACCCACTCTACCAGCACAGGCACAGACACTGTTGGAAGTGCCCATAGAGGGAGAAGAACTCGCCCAGGTCCTCAAAACGCTAAAACCCATGAAAAGCCCAGGCCCAGATGGCTTCACAGCCCTCTACTATAAAACGTTTCAGGCAATACTCACACCACACCTGTGCAACACCTTCAACTCTCTTCTCCAGGGCCAACACCTCCCCCCGGACATGCTTGCTGCAGATATCTGCCTCCTGCCCAAACCAGGGAAGGACCAATTTCACTCCTGAACACGGACTTAAAAATTCTCACCAAAGCATTGGCCAACCGTCTCAACACGTACCTCCCTAAGCTGATACACCCAGACCAGGTCGGCTTTATCCCCATGAGACAGGCATCGGACAACACCAGGCGAGCCTTTAACACAATCTGGTACGCTCAGAACCGAAGCATTCCCTCGGTAATGCTCTCACTGGACGCAGAGAAGGCGTTCGACCGCCTTCTCTGGCCCTACATGTTTCAAACACTAACTCACCTGAAATTCCCGGCTGGATTCCTAAACGCTCTGATGGCAATTTACAACCACCCCACTGGGAGCCTTCTCTTACCCAACGTCAAAGGCCGCACATTCGACATTGCAAATGGGACCAGGCAGGGCTCCCCCCTCTCCCCCCTCCTATTTGCAATCTCGTTAGAACCACTTCTACAAGCCATACGCAACCACCCCGACATCCACGGCATCCGAATTCGACAAGACACATACACGGTAGCGGCATACGCGGACGACGTCCTCCTGACCCTCACGGACCCGACGTCCTCCCTGCAAGCCACCCTCAAAGTGATAGCCGACTATGCCAGCTTCTCCGGATACAAAATCAACTTGACGAAATCCCTGTTCGTACCCATGGCGATGAACGAGCAACAAACCAACCTCTTACGACAATCCTTCCCTTTCCAAATCACTACGTCCCACCTCACATACCTGGGCACCCGACTGCCCCTAAACCTGGAAGATACCTACAAGCAAAACTACAAACCTCTGATGGCAACAGCTCACAGACCTGCGACGATGGGACAGACTTGGGATTTCCTGGCTCGGCAGAGTTACAACTATCAAAATTAATTTACTACCGCGCTTTCTATACCTCTTCCACACGCTACCCATCCCCATACAGAAAAAAGACTTCAAAGATCTTCAGGCCGCCATTGACAAATTCATTTGGAGGGCCAAAAAACCACGCATCCGCAGATCGACCATGTACGTCCCCAAAACCAGCGGGGGCCTTGGGCTACCCAATTTCCTGCAATATTACAATGCGCCCCACCTGGCCCCCGAGTGCCAAAAGATGGGTGGATCTGGAGCACGATATCCTGGGCTGGGACCAACCATCATCCTATATGTGGGTGCCCCCGCCCGCTCCCTCCGCCCACCTCCCCGGCACTCACCCACACGTTAGCTCTCTGGGACAAACTCAACCCTAAATACGAGCTGTCCTCTTTCCTCTCTCCGGTAACACCAATATACTGCAACAAACTTTTCCCACCAGGGATGGTCGCACAGCACTTCCGCGCATTTGATCAAAGATGTCTCCAGGCTGCTCCACCTGTACCATCAGGGAGAAATCGTCACCTACCAAGCCATACCAAAAACAGTGAAACGCTCACGACGGCAGACTACTTTCGATATATGCAACTCAGGGATCTGGCAAGACAGCCAAAGATCAAACAAGCAGGGACCTCACCCCTGACATCATTCGAGAAACAGTGCTTCGACGCACCCCTACACCCAGGACAAATCTCCGACTTATACGCCACCCTGACAACACACACCTCCCAAGTCAACCTCACCTACATCGCCGCATGGGAGCGAGATCTTGGCCCACCGGAGGAATCGAGCGACTGGGCGGAAATTTGGGAAGCAACGAACTCCCTGACAGTCTATGTTACCCACAAAGAGCAAGCATACAAAAAGTTATTCCGCTGGTACATGAC